TTTTTTTTTTTTTTTTTTTCTGCAAATACAAAAAAGTGCAACCTCAAGAGATAAGCATGTTGCTCAAGATAGACAAAGGCCCAACAAAAATGTATCTGATTCACAATATGCAGACATCAAATATAGTCAAGTATTGCAAACAACAATTATGTGTTCGAAATTCAATGCTTGGCAACCTGAAATCTTAAGGGAAATCCACAACTTTGCTACAAAAAATTTACCATCTCATCCACTGTGTCCTCAGACTATAATCCACTCCCAAATTTATACTACTGGGATAAAGTTTATGCTCTAATGTCTAAGCTAAACAAATCGCTCTCATCAATTGCTATTGCAACATATATCAGTCAAAAAGAAACTATCTCCAGCATAAGAAAAGTGGCCAACATTGTCACAAAGTTAGAGCATAGTGGCAGGAATCTGTCAGACAACATAATTTTACACCATATTTCAGTCCCTTCACGCCTTCTGATACAACTGGAATGAGCATTAGTTTAAGATCATACACGACCTTAGAGTATCTCTAAATATAGAACACCATAGTTCTATTATACTTAAGTAGAGCTACATAAAGAGGCAACAACAACTCTCGATGCTAGTTTAACAAAACAAACTGTGTGCCTTATTTTTCAAGAGTAGTGAGACCAAGTTTCTAATGTGCTTGTTTAATGCAAAAGAAGTACTCCTAATAGATTATATCTATGCTACAGATCCAAATTTTGGAACTTATCTACCATGAAGAGAAGAGATTATTTGTGCAAGACATTCTGTGATCAATACAGTATTTCCAAAGCATGTTCCAAAGGTAGTTGAGTCAACTCGTAAAATGCCTCATTCTCTCCAAATCTTATACCAAGCTGGTAGCTCTGTACTTTCCTCAATCTTTTTACATTAGCAAGTGCCAGGACATATCATATTCGAGAATTGCAAAGTAGTAAGGTGTTCCTAAATTGTTTAATGCAAAAGAAGTTAATATATGCCACAAATAACAAATTTGGAACTTATCAACTATGAAGAAAAGAGATTATTTGTTCAAGACACTGTGATCGATCCAGTATCTCAAAAGCATAGTTCCAAAGGCAGTTGAGTCAACTAGTATAGTGCCTCATTCTCTCCACATCTTAAATGATTTGCCAACAATACGAAGCTGGTAGCTTCTGTACTTCCCTCACATGATTCAGTCCTTTGTAACTCAACACGCACCAGGATAAATCTAATGAAAACACATCATATTCGAGACTTTCAAATAAGAAGGTGTAAGCATATATATAATGTTAAAGTTAATAATAATCATCAAAAGCAAAATCATAGGTCTAATTTGGTAAACAAACTGCAATTTTTAGCTAATAAGCGCCAGGATATCTTACAACCTAATGATAACACTTCATAATCGAGACTTGCAAATAAGGAGTAAGCATCTAATGTTAAAGTCAATAATATCTAACACAAGCAAATTTTATATTCAGCATAATTATAGGTCTAGATTGGCAGACAAACTGCGATTATCACCTAATAAGTGATAGGAGCAGAGGCTGAAACTGCTGGCTGAGTAGGCTTCTGAGCAGGTACGTAAGCTTCAGCCACACGGTACTGATAATAGGCATGGTAAGGATCAGAAGCATTCAGGAAACTAAATTTAGCATCACCGGCGTGGTTTATCTTAAGCCCCCTCTCAACACGTTCCCCATTCTTCGCCACGAACGGCACAACCTTGTCGATAATAAACTTAGTATCTGGAGGAACGTTGTATGCTTCATTATCTGGAGGTGTTTGTCCAACATTCCCATCCATCGACATTTCTCTTCCTGCAAGAAAAAAGAAACGATCTAAGCATTTATGGCCAATAATGAAGAAAACTCCAAAATATGCTTCTACCATCATTCTGTTTGCCTCAGGTATAACCCATAAACATTCTCCCCGTTTCAATTTTCATTCAAGTGGTAGAAACCCTTTTTCCTCAACTTATCAAGCAAGAAAACTCCAATAATAAGGTATGTGGTAACACAATCAAAAAATTTAAAAAGCTATTCCCACATCTTTATTTTTGTATTTTTTTCCCCACTTCTCTACAGTAAAAGCAACAAAGAAAACATTCGAACAGCAATTGCAAAACGAATGCAGGTTTTTTTTTTTGCTCGAAACAGGAACAGTTTAAGACATCATAATAGATTAAGCACCAAAAAAGTAGAAAGAAAATAAAGACTATAATAATGCGAAAAATAGCAGAAGGAAACAAATTGAAATAAATTTACCTGATTAGAGAAACTGATATTGAAAAAGTATCAAAATGTGGAGTTACCGCTGCGACTAGGGTTTCTCTGAAGAAAAAGAGAAGTTACAAACATCAGCAACCTTCTATCTATATATACGTTACGGAGCCGACCCGAACCTTAAAGAAGACCCAAACTTAAAGATCTGTGGCCCATGAAACAGCTCTTTTCATATTAAATAAATGTTGACTCCATTTTACTTTTACTATTACGAGGGAATATGTAGGCAGCAGGTCATAAGCTTCTAATTGCCTTTGACTAAATTGCCCCAAGTGTTGTATAAGCTTTTACTAATAGAAAACGTGGGGCCCACTGGATACAACGCTGCCTTTTACTTTTAAAACATTGGCATTGGACTATTGAAGCTTGTGGAAACGTGGCTAATATGACAGGTTTCATGTATGGAACCTTTAAAAAAGCCTTATATATTTATTTCATAGAGAATATATTAACTGATAAAATTTTATAAATTTCATATTTCATTAGTAGCCTTATTCTTATTTCTTTACAATTTTTATTTAAGTAATAAAACAAAATAAAACAGTTTACATTACTAATATCAAATAGATTATTTGATGATAGGCTATAATTACGTATTTTAGTCGCTTATTACACTCAAATTTACTGCACTTTAGTTGAGTTTGCGTTTTAATCGTTAGTGTTTTGCACTAATTGTGTGTTTTATGCCTTGTAGGAGTGATTCCGAGCTATGTAGATGTTATGGAATGAATTCAAGTGATTTAGAGCTTTGAAGTCTGAGTAAAAGCCCAAGGAATTAAGTCGGGATCGTATTCGGGATCAACGGATGATAGAGCAACAAAACGAAGAAACGAGTAGGCATATTGCGCACTTTCATGTTTTACGTTTTTCCAAATTCCAAACGGAACAGGGTGAAAAACGCGGTCGAAACTGCAACCGTGGACCTGAGGCGGACTGAGGCAGTACACTAGGAAAGTACCGCGCCCGGGCCGCGGCCGTGGACGTCCAGGCCTGGAAACTTGTCCGTTTTCGCATAAGAGAAGGTATAATAGTTTGGGCCCGACCCTACTTGGTATATATACATGGAAAAACGATCTTTTGAGGGGATGAAACCAATTTTTGACACAGATTCGACCTAAGGAGGCAGAAAGACAATAGGAGCAAGGCGGAGAATTCTTCTACGAGTTTTTTCTTCCTCTTCCTATTTTTTCATTGTGATTATGGCTTTTAGTATTGTAGTTTTACATACTATTATGAATAGCTAATGTGTTATCTAGGGTTTTGATAGAACCTTTTGTAGGATAAATTCTTGTTATGTTTTTATATAATTGAGCCGTTGGATTTCTCTACTTGTTCAACTACGTGTTTGTTGTTGTTGATTGAATGGCCATCAATTGACTGTGCCTATTTAGTGTGTAGTGCTCGAGAGAGAGTACATATTTAGGTAGTTGTTGAACAACGTCACTCCTAACGTACGTGAGAAATCAATACAGTGGGTTTAAAGGCAGGTTTAGAAATAACAAAGCCTTGACGTGGTCATAATGAGCGGTTAGATAAAATCAACTAGCGTAGTTCGAGAGAATATGTCTAGTAAATTATTGTAGTTGCTCGAGAGAGAATTACGACACCGAAAGTACTCACGATCAATAGAGAATACATTGGAAAAATTGTAGGGAACATAGCTAGAAGGATTCCGACAATTGGGGAAATCATAAATCTAAACCTCCTTAATTTAGTCTCCAACCCTTTGTCTCGTAGTTGATAATTTTACCGTTTTCTAGTATTTGCTAGTTAATTAGTTAGAAATATAAATCTCAATCTTTATAATTTAGAAAATTGTTCAAACTTGTCTTTTTAGTGATATTAAACAGATATAGCTAAGCCTTAGTTCTCTGTGAGATTCGACTCCGGACTTTTAGACCGGATTATATTTGCAGCGACCGCTTATCCTTTTTAGGACTAGAGTTGGGCGTGATCATTATTCAAACGAAATCGAATCCAAATTATGTTTTTATAACAACATAGTAAATTTTCTATTTTACACAAACTTCCTATTTTCATTTTTATTTGAGCAAAACATTATGTTTATACTAGAGTAAAACTTTTTTATATCAGCCTCAGTTGTTCTGATATATTTTGGCAGCTATAGTAAAGTGTTGTTATGTAAGATATATATTATAATATAAAATAAAAAGTTGATTTCCAAGAAAACTTGACCATTATAAAAAAAGTATTATTATAGAGGATAGTTGTTATAGAGAAGTGTACCTGTATGACAATACTCCAATAATGAATGTATATAAATATTCATTAAACAAAAAAGTTTGTTAATATGGCATAAACTATTTTCATGTAAAATGTACTTTTCTATTGAAGTGTTATAATGATAGAGTGCGCACGAGAAGTGAGAATAGTCTACACTAATGATACTGAGTATCAAAGAAAATATGGTTTTTCAAAGTTTATGAGAGATTCCCTATAAGATTTTTCATTAAATAATTTTCGAATCTTAA